TCTCTCTCTCTCTCTGCCGGCATGCGGGCCTCAAGTCTTTCTGCAAAGCTTTCCGCAGGTCAACAGACATGGTTCCTGTGCCAGTGACGACTTCGTGCTTTACACCCCAGGGCCATCTACACCAGCCCTGAGCAACCTCACAGCAGAAGAAGTGGACAGAAGTCAACTTATGACCAATCCGACCTCTCGATGCGTCGGGTTCGTGCCAGCCAAACGCAGGGCATCTCCCAGCTGGTCTGGTGATAAGCAGCCAGAGCTTTCCTCCGGAGGGGTTGGAAGCGGGCTGCTGGCCTTTCGCTATGATCTTGACGACAGGGAACATGGGGCTGAAGATGCAGATGCGTAGCGTCGCACGGTCTAGGCCTGTGCTGTCCACTTGCATACTGACAGCATCGACTATGAGTATATAGTTCGCCTGATGCTTCGTCACGTTGCAAGTGCTGCTAGCTGCCGCATTATCTCCGTTCTCCACACAATCCTGTGTCTCTCTTCGGTTGCGGTTGCTGTAGAGGTTTTGTCGAACTCAAGCCATCGGCATCCGCTTGCTTTAAAGTCCAGGTTGTACGGTGGTGGGATCTCATCCAAAGCGTGTGCGAGGTTGAGTGCCGGTATGAAAACACCGCAAGAACCAATACTGATACCATTGCACCGGCCTTGATTGGGGTTCGTACTACTACCACCCAAATCAAGAAATACTGGAATGGCCCAAGTGCGACCGGCGTCTACGAGTACGACGACGACGACCACGACGACGACGACGACGACGACGACTACTACTACTACTAGCCTCGAGCCCCTCCGGGGACCCACCCTTTGACGGCACACAGCATTGCTGTTGCTTGCTGGAAGTGCGGAAAGTGCGGGCGTGGCTGTAGAGTTCGTTGCTTGAAGAGTTGCGCATTACATTTGCTGAAGCATTGGTTTCCGGGTTCAGCTCCGGTCCCCGAAAGTTCGGTTTTGGTGTTAAAACTGGGGCTTCAGACCACGTCGATGCCACCGTTGTTTTCACTCCTCGTGCATGTCGCTGTGGCGCACGATATCTCCGATCACTTGCCACAGGTAGTGCCGGCGATTCCAATGTTTCCATAGGAACTTAGAGACGACATCAGGGCATGTTAGCCGTCGAGGTGGCAGGCATGGACAAAAGTCCGACCACCAACAAAATGCAGTCGTCCCCCCGACCCCAAAAGCCCTTCTGGTTTCAAAGAAGTGACAATAAATTTCAGGCAAGGCTGCACGGAGCTGGGGAGTCAGGATAAGACACAGGGCTCTTTACGCCAAAGTATTTACAGGCATGCAGCGTGAGAACTTTCCTCTTGAGACAAGCGGGAGCTAGATCGCACATCGGGGCAACTGTATCGAACACGAAAAGGAGGGCAAATAAAGCTTCCCACGAGCCTTGCCAAAGGTCTGGAATATCTGCTGCACTATCGCCTCAGATGCATCTGCTCAAGGCATGCTGCGTCTAGGCTTGCAGAACTGAAGCCTTGACATTGGTTTCTTAGGAACCAATGGAGTACCGGCTGCTCAACAGGCAACACCCGAGCCATGTCTCCGTCCTCCAAAAGCCACAAAATCGAAACTTTCGAATCCTGACAAGGGCAAGAAAAAACACCGACAAGAGCGATAATCCGATAATCGTGAACTCGGGCACTTCGCGGTCGTAGGTCATGGCGCCTGTCTTAGGGGCAGCGTGGCAGCATCAAATTCGGAGGTAATTGCTGACACAGTGCGAGGGATTGGAGCTGTCCGTACAAAGGTGTAGTTACCAACATGGGCGAAAGGTTCGAGTTGAGCTCGAGAGCGGGTGCCCTACTTGGAGGAGGCACGGTTGCTTCTTCCACAGGGTACCAACGATGCCTTAAAAAACATCGGCTTCAATCTTTGGGCGGGAGTGGCCGTGGCATGGGTTATGCATATGCCCAGCCATGCCTCGCAGCAATCCTGCGAAGACTCCACGGCTGGACGAGTCACCGAAGCTAAACCAGAGAGTGCTGCTAGATATGCCATGTCACGATGAGCAAAGTGTGCCTAGCTGGTTTAACCATGTTTCTACGTATGTTGTCAAGCATCTGTCAACGACCCGGCCGCACTAGCTGCTGCTTGTTGTACATGACGTGATGCCACATCCTGGGGGTAAAAACGTGTGCTGCGGTCATCGAAGACTTTCGATGCGAAGCTTCATCTTCCTTGCACCTGCTGCTGGCACTGCTTGCAGGAATTGGCATGACATCATCTCCTGTAAGAGCGGACACGGGTGCTCACTCTCCAAGTGCCCTGGGTGCTTGTGCCCCTGGTGGGGGTTGGAGGAAGTGAAACAGGCGCTCGGTTCCGAAAACGGAAAGAGGTACCTCTTGCATGGACCTTCGGCTTACACCCCTTGTTCTCCCAACTGCTCTCGAACCGCTTTAGAGGGCTCCGTCGTTTCCCGAATGCCTGCACAAGCTTAGACGTACAAGGCCTGGCAGCCAGGAGTTTCCCGAGCGGATCGGCCGATAGGCAGACCGTACGTTCAAGGGAGAACGTCGGCACTTTGCTGCTCCAGAACGCCTTCTTGGCGCGCCAGTCGGTCCTCGGCCGCTGGCTCGGCTCTCAAGCGCTGGAGCCGGAGGAGCTCGAGCTCCTCCTGCTTCTCGCGGAGCTCCTCGCGCAAGCGCCCGACCTGTGCCGCAACGATCGGCCGCTACTCGCAGTCGCAGACAGAGCACGGGTCCCACCCCACCCCCCCCGCCTTGGACTCCAGCTTGCGGAGCAACTCCCAGGCGTTCTCCTCGTTTCGGGCTCAAGGCGAAAACAAACCACTCTGCTTCAAAGCTCTGCAAAGCTCACTTTCCTCCATCCGGCTCGTGACATGGGCGAAACCGTTCACAGGAGGGATGGCAGAGGCAGCATCCAGCTGCAAGCGTAGTGCCCGCACCTGCTTGATGCAGATCTTTGTCGCGGTTCTGGGTTGCGGGCAACTTGGGTTTGCAGCTCGAAGCATTCAAAGCTGTTTTGTTGAATCGTCCATGTCTCAACATCTCTTGCTGCGGTCCCCGTCTACCAGTTGACAGCACTTCCGTGATCACCTGGTCCTGCAGATCTTTGCCCTGCCGATCTAGGGAGTGCTCGCGCTGCTTCGCCGCCGCTTCGGCAGCCTGGGCGACGCAGATTCTCCAACAGAACCCGGAATTCTTCGACCCACTCCCCGCATCTCCCCGCCTCCAGCGCCGCCAGCTTCCGCCAGGCCCGGGCCTCTGCCTCGCGGGCGGCACCGGCTCCGGTGCCCAAGGCCTTCGTTTCCCTGCGTAGCACCTGGAAAGGGGGCATCAAGCAATTCGGCAAGAAAGCCCTACCAAGCAGAATGCACGTAGCCCACGGCAGAACCCGGTACCTCACCTCCCTGCTTGCAGAACCCATGTAGTCACGTCACGTACAACTCAGCCCAGACTCTCGAGCCCCGCCTCGCAACGGGAAGTGAGCTGTGTAATCAGCGTGGTCTCTTGGCGAACAGCATCCTGAAGTTCCTGCCCAGATGCTTCATGGAAGTTCGACGCTGGAGCAGTCAAGGCTCGACGCAACCCAAGCAAACCAGTCGCCTGGGATGGAAGCCCCAAAACAAGCAGAGCTGGGATGAGAACTCGCTCGAGGTTCTTCTCTAAATTTTATGAGTGACGTCTCGCCAGCCCTGGGCAAAAAGAGCTGCGCTAATATGCTTTGTGAGTCTAACCGGTCGCTTCGCTCCCTCGGGTTCCAGCCTGCAGCCCTGAGGACAGCTGCTGTCGTGAGGCCTCCAACGAAGCGACGCGAGCGCTCTTCGCTGCCAGCTCGCTGCCTCTCCCTCCGTTCCTCAGTTCGGACACCGACCTCCCAAGATTCCCAATCCAAGAATCCCATCGCAATCCCCAAGATCAACCAAGATCAACCAAGATCAAGAAGCAGGCTCGGGCTTGGTCCTCCGGGTCCCTCCGCCGCGGCTTCGGCGGCGGGAAGCCTGGCCAGTGCCTCCGCGCAGCGGCGCTCCCTTGCCGCGAAGCGCCGCTCAGCCTCGCCCGTCTCACGGAGCAGAGCCTCAGCGAAAACACTGATAAAGAGAGTCGTGAGCTCCCCCCCTCGACTTCGAATTTCAAGCGCCTCTCGCTCTGGCTGCTCGTCCGCCCAGCGCCGCCTCACCTCCGCCAGCTCTTTTTGGTTCTGCTCGGCCTCGGCCTGGACCCGGTCCAGCTCCTGCTTCACGGCCAGGGCCAGCTTCCGCTGCACCTTCCAGAGAAGCGACATTCCGTTTTGTTGAGCCCAAGTATTCTTTGTGAACCTGATGAGCCTGGAAGCTGCTTCAAGAATCAAATCTCTCGTTCCTACATTCCTGGCCCCACAAGAACAAGTGTCGCGGCTCGTGCAATGGCTCGGCCTCCACCTCTGCTTGCACGCTTTGCAGGCGCTCGCGCAGGGCAGTGGCATAGCTCTCATCTCCCACGGCCGCACCGTCCATGGCGATCTGCTCTCATCTCTTCTGTCGGCCCGGCGCAGGTCTACGCTTCGAGCACTCTAAGCTGGTGTCTACCCCAGGTGACCGCTTGTGGCCTTCGATTGCAGCGTGGGGCTGGGAGGTTGTGGATCGGATCCCTCAAATCCAAGATCATGAGACCGTGGAACCTAGCAGACACCCTTGAGCCCAACCTGCTTCGGTCGACTTCGGGCTCACAGGACAAGCTCAGCCACTCCTGTGAAGATCTCAGTGTCCGCACGGGGCAAAGGCTCAACGATACGAGCGATACTCGTGCCGTGGGCTCCTTACGCAACCCGACAGCGAGCCCTAAAAGCCGAAGCCAACAATAACAGAAGCGTGTTTCGCGTGGTGCTCACGCGCCTTCTTTGATGGCTAGGGTGGCAAAAGCCAGCATCTTATGCTGCCCGATGCAGTAACGTGGCATTTCTCTCCTGACCGATTTCCCTGATGACCTTCGACATCCCGCCCCCCTGGCCACTGCTGTCCTACAGGCTTCAGCTGCATCTCCTGCGACTCAAGCATTCACCACCTTGCCATAGAAGATGCCTTTCAGGAGGACGGTCCTCGTGGGGCGGGACCGGAAACCCGAACCCACAAGATCGTCCGAAAGCAAGCCCCAAAATACGAAGTAAATAAGACCCCTCCTGGGAGCTTTGGCACCCATGTCGGTGTCGGAGGGCTGCTTCGACACGAAAACGCCGCCGATCTCTCCAAGCTCCTGGTTCACCTGCAAAAGGTCAGAAACTGCTGGATTCTGCTCTGGAGTTTGCACCACTTCTGGCCGAAAGATCAGCCCGCCTTGTTGACCTCCATCTCGATGACGCCCTTGCCGAGGTCGAAGACCTTGTTGGTCTCCTTGAAGAGCTCGTCCTGGCCGCCCTGACCATCGGACTGCATGGCCGGCAGGGCCACGGCCTGATCGTAGCCCAAGGTCATACCTCGGCCCTTAGGGTCAAGGAAACCACCGGTTCGGTAGGAGGGGACACTGAACTCGCCACCCCATGTGAAGCCCGGCTTGAAGGAGCTGCCCTCGCCCTTGGCCACCAGCTCCTTCACGGTGAACAGGAAGGGCACGTACTCGCCGTCCGGCAGCTTCACGGTGGTGGCCGCGAAGTCCATACCGTCCTGCTCCTTGAAGGTGATGGGGTTGGCATCCAGGCTGCCCTCGATGAAGGCCAGGGTGTAGGTCTGACGGGTGGTCAGCTTGGTGGTGGCGAACTCCTTGCCCTTGTCGGTCTCGAACTCTACTGCGAAGGACTTCGGCTCGAAGCACACGTTCACGAGCCGAGAGCCGCCCTTCACGGGGACCTCCGTGCCGTTGGACTCGACGGTGGGGCAGCGGTTGGCCAAGCCGGAGCCCTTCACCTGTGCGTAGGTGAGCTGGCTGAACTGCTCTGCCGTGATGGCGCGGGCGGGCTTGGCGGCCACGACGCCGAAGATCAGGCCCAGGGCGGCGCCGAAGCTCAGCAGCGGTGCAGCCCAGGAGGTGCCGGCCATGCTCGGCTGCGGCATCTCGTGCTCGACCGCATTGGGCGCGGCGCGGGGCGGCTGCGATCCTTGGGGAAGACCGGTCAGGAAGCAGCTGCCCACGCCGACCACCGCCAGGACGGCGACTGCGCTAACGGCAAAGGAGCGTTTCGTCATGTCTTGACAGCCGCAAGGGACACTAAGCCCGGACAACACTAAGAAAAAACTCAAAGCCAAAACGCGAACACATGCCGTTGCCCCCATGGAACAACAAGCTCAAAAAGCATGCAGCTGATATCTGCTCCTCTGACTCGCGTACCGTGAGCATCCCAGAAAAAGTCCGAGAATTTAAATGCGCATCTGCACAAAGGGATGCCAAGACTTTTAATTTCTGCTGTGGCGCTGCCATGTGCTGTGGTGCTGCAGTCTATGCATTCACCACCTTGCCGTAGAAAATGCCCTTGAGAAGAACCGTCCTCTCAACGGGAAACAAGGGTAAGGGAGTGGCCAGCGTAATTCAGTGGCAATGGACCCATAGCTCACGAACCGAGATGATGAAAAAGGGGTACAGCACGTGTTCTTGGTCTCTGCCTGGAGTTTCAACGCAGAGAACTGAGCAACACTGGATTGATTGACACGTCCATTTGGCACTCAGTGCAGCTACATTGAGAACAACTTCTTGCCGAGCGACAGCATTTTCTTGCAGATATTTGCCGAAACTACAAGGACTTGTGGCGGACTGAGGTGAGTGGCTGGAAAAACCAGCTTCCCCTTCCCGCCCCCGCATGTTTGAGGCACATGGAGGTAAACGGGCATGCTTCAAACACACCCCGATGCCTGACATTATCGCTCGCAGGCCAATCCGGCCAATCATGTTTGCCGACTGTTTACCCAATCCGGAACATCGACCGAAGCACAACGCCCGAACGCCTTGCTTTCGATGATCGAAACTTACAACACCTCAGGACCTCAGGTAGATGGACCCCAAGCATCTTCTCCTTGGGGCTTTGGCGCCCATGTCGGTGTCGGAGGGCTGCTTGGACACAAAGACGCCGCCTATTTCACCAAGCTCCTGGTTCACCTGCAACCAAGAAATAGAAAGTTCACGTGCCGACCAACAGCATCTGGCTATTAGGAGTATGTAAGTGTCATGTTCTGCCGGGTTCGGCTGGGTAAGGAACCTTTTACATGGACGGACGACCGATGACAGGATTGCCGCTGGGGGCCGGAGCCACGCTAAGTATCTGAGAAATCTCGCACAGCATGTGTATGTGGACACGCTGGGCTCTCCGGCTCTCCATGGTCAACATCCACGACTTGACTTGTTACCTTGCTGTGTTGCCATTCTGTTCTCAGATTTAACAAATCGCTCAAACCACTTCAACCCAACGCAGAACCCCACACAAAACATAGATCAGCATGGGATCAACATCACCACATGAACTTCGGCCAAGCACTCCAATTGAGAACAAAACGGGTCTACCTTTGTCGTTGGCGTTGTGTGCAGTCGCCTGAAGATGCGAACTGCCTATTAGGGTGGTCTGTTGCACATTGCAGGAATGAAAACTTCTTGTCAGAATATGAATATGCACGAATGCACACATCCGCGCAGGTCTGCCGGAAACTGCGTGCGAAGTTCTGCTGAATGCCTTGTTGACCTCCATCTCGATGACGCCCTTGCCGAGGTCGAAGACCTTGTTAGTCTCCTTGAAGAGCTCGTCCTGGCCGCCCTGACCGTCGGACTGCATGGCCGGCAGGGCCACGGCCTGATCGTAACCCAAGGTCATACCTCGGCCCTTAGGGTCAAGGAAACCACCGGTTCGGTAGGAGGGGACACTGAACTCGCCACCCCATGTGAAGCCCGGCTTGAAGGAGCTGCCCTCGCCCTTGGCCACCAGCTCCTTCACGGTGAACAGGAAGGGCACGTACTCGCCGTCCGGCAGCTTCACGGTGGTGGCCGCGAAGTCCATACCGTCCTGCTCCTTGAAGGTGATGGGGTTGGCATCCAGGCTGCCCTCGATGAAGGCCAGGGTGTAGGTCTGACGGGTGGTCAGCTTGGTGGTGGCGAACTCCTTGCCCTTGTCGGTCTCGAACTCTACTGCGAAGGACTTCGGCTCGAAGCACACGTTCACGAGCCGAGAGCCGCCCTTCACGGGGACCTCCGTGCCGTTGGACTCGACGGTGGGGCAGCGGTTGGCCAAGCCGGAGCCCTTCACCTGTGCGTAGGTGAGCTGGCTGAACTGCTCCGCCGTGATGGCGCGGGCGGGCTTGGCGGCGACGACGCCGAAGATCAGGCCCAGGGCGGCGCCGAAGCTCAGCAGCGGTGCAGCCCAGGAGGTGCCGGCCATGCTTGGCTGCGGCATCTCGTGCTCGACCGCATTGGGCGCGGTGCGGGGCGGCTGCGATCCTTGGGGAAGACCGGTCAGGAAGCAGCTGCCCAAGCCGACCACTGCCAGGACGGCGACTGCGCTAACGCCAAAGGAGTGGCGGGCCATCGAAGCAATAAGTTAAAAAGGGATGCTTCCAAAAACTTGCCACAGCTCAAAGGCAAAGACATGGTCCCGGGACATTTGCACAGCCGAAGATACAAGCGAGAGCGACATGATGTATAGAAGCGAACATCTTTCCCACCTGCCACGAGCAAGTGCGAAAAAAGACTGGTCTTTGAAGATCAGCTAAGAAGCCTGGCAAGTCCTCACTCCGGACTGGATACTATGGACGATGTTCTGTACAAGCTCAAACGTATCTACAGTTGCTCAGGCTTGACAGCGTGGGCGTGAGCCCTAACTGCAACACTTAGGCATTCACCACCTTGCCATAAAAAATGCCCTTGAGCAGCACCGTCCTGTTCGCTCGCAGCAGCATGCTGACAGCAATAGACATCACAAAAAAGCACAAACAATCATGTAAAGATGACTGAAACTCAGTTGTGTCCTCGGTGCTTTCGCGCCCATGTCGGTGTCAGACGGCTGCTTCGAAACGAAAACACCACCGATCTCCCCGAGCTCCTGGTTCACCTGCTAACGGCACACTGCCTCCATTCCCACTGTGGACATGCTGCTAGCACGCAAGCCTTGTTGACCTCCATCTCGATGACGCCCTTGCCGAGGTCGAAGACCTTGTTGGTCTCCTTGAAGAGCTCGTCCTGGCCGCCCTGACCATCGGACTGCATGGCCGGCAGGGCCACGGCCTGATCGTAACCCAAGGTCATACCTCGGCCCTTAGGGTCAAGGAAACCACCGGTTCGGTAGGAGGGGACACTGAACTCGCCACCCCATGTGAAGCCCGGCTTGAAGGAGCTGCCCTCGCCCTTGGCCACCAGCTCCTTCACGGTGAACAGGAAGGGCACGTACTCGCCGTCCGGCAGCTTCACGGTGGTGGCCGCGAAGTCCATACCGTCCTGCTCCTTGAAGGTGATGGGGTTGGCATCCAGGCTGCCCTCGATGAAGGCCAGGGTGTAGGTCTGACGGGTGGTCAGCTTGGTGGTGGCGAACTCCTTGCCCTTGTCGGTCTCGAACTCTACTGCGAAGGACTTCGGCTCGAAGCACACGTTCACGAGCCGAGAGCCGCCCTTCACGGGGACCTCCGTGCCGTTGGACTCGACGGTGGGGCAGCGGTTGGCCAAGCCGGAGCCCTTCACCTGTGCGTAGGTGAGCTGGCTGAACTGCTCCGCCGTGATGGCGCGGGCGGGCTTGGCGGCCACGACGCCGAAGATCAGGCCCAGGGCGGCGCCGAAGCTCAGCAGCGGTGCAGCCCAGGAGGTGCCGGCCATGCTCGGCTGCGGCATCTCGTGCTCGACCGCATTGGGCGCGGCGCGGGGCGGCTGCGATCCTTGGGGAAGACCGGTCAGGAAGCAGCTGCCCACGCCGACCACCGCCAGGACGGCGACCGCGGCCACTGCCAAGGAATTGCGAGCCATTCTTGCCGAACTTACTACCGCAAAACTTAAAACTTTAAGCCCGCAACGGCTCGGAGACATCGGAAAGGTTCTGAACCTACTGAGGGTCGCATACATAATTTCTCGCACAACTGGAAGTCCGTCTGCCCAGAAGGCACATGACAACATCCCCCACCGGGATCTTGCTTATAGCTTACTTCTTTCTCTTCGAGCTGGTGACGCAATGATCGCAGTAGACGTCGTAATGGATGGGATGGAATCATATGGGTGGCGCAATACAAGATTCTTTTTTCGCAAGCGCAGGGTCCTTGGAAAAGGCCCCGTCAGCACCGGCTTGTCAAAGGCGCTTTATGGTTTTGCGGCTTGGTTTACTAACAACCCTAACCCACGCACGTGTCTGGCAGCAGTGGGACTTTGCGGTACAAGGCAGTATATTGTCCATCCAGACTAAAAAATGCGAGGAATGCACTTGTCGAATCTGCGCAGCTGTGAGGATGGGGAAAACGGAGCGATCCATGCGTGAATGCGGCGGGGGACCGTCTGGGAGGAGGCGACACCGGTTTTGTGACTTGTACGAGTACAATTGGGAAGGAGCCATGATTCTGCGGGAGGTAAAAGCCAAATCGGCCAAGTACCGATTAGAACACTGCGCAGCTGACGGGTCCACAACCTTATGGTACCGCAGTAAGAGGACATGATTTTGAAAATGCGACATACCCAAGCATTAAAAATGAATAAAGTTCATGTTGGTTAGTTGAAACGGTGAAAGAAAAGGAGACTGTCCATCGCATGCGTGAGGATGGACTGAACAACAACACGGTAGGACCCGAAGGTCGTCGAAAAAGGAAGCGAGAAACGACGGATCGAAAGAAAATCGGTTGGTAAAATTCACCTGTAAATGATGACACTTATCGAGGTTGAAGTACAACCCTCGACGAGCTCCTTTTTTCAGCATTAAATGAAGGAGCTTTTCTCTTTGGTGGGAAGGGTTCGAAAATAAGATTGTGTCGTCCGCATACTCCAACTCCCATGAAAAGGAGCCAAGCTGAGGACTGCGGAAAACGAGGCCGTGTACGTCCTGATACAAGAGCGGGTGGACATGTTCACCGACACGGAAACGGAAACGGTGAACACCGCCACGATCGCGACCGAAAACAACAAAAGCTGATTTGGTGGGACACCAAAGTGGAACCTCCAAGCGTTAGCCCATGCATATGTTGCATCCAGTGCGCTTTGCAGGTCGTCGGCGATGTCGCTTAGAAAAAGTTGGAACGAGCGAAAGCTCAAAACCGGGCTTCTACCTGCGGGGTGCTACCTGGGCTCAAGGGCAGCACGCCTTTTCTCGAAGCCACAAAGCGGGCTGCGGTGCGCAGTGGTACTGTGCAAGCGAAACACTCTACAGGGGTAATTAGTTTAGCTCAAGTCCTCAGGTGCTGTGTACTTGGGGAACCTACGGGACTTCTCACACCCCCCTCGAATGCTGAGGGATTGGCGGAGTTCCCCGTGCGGGCGGGGACTTCCGCTCATCATCGCGTGCGAAGTAATGCTGGCGACACCGTCTCGTCCCTATGACGAGGTTGCCCCAGCAGTTGAGGCAAAGGTTCTCCGTGATGATGTCCCTCGGCTTCACAGAGGTCAGCCCCGTACAGTTCCCCGGACAGTTCCTGTAGAGGTGGACTGTGTGTCGCGTCGGGGCATAGTACATCTCACCGAAGTTGTGCCGCAGCACCGGCGGCAGGCGCGCTCCTGGCTAGAGCCTGCGGCGCCTCGGTGGACTCCCACGTTGACGTTCTCCGGGGGGTGCCGGTGGTGGCGGTGCTGCCGCGACTGGCGCAGGCATCCCCATCGTGAGGTTCAGGCTCGGGGGTCGGAGGTCTCGCGGTGGTGCCGCCCGCGCCGGTGCACGGAGGAGCCCCTATACGGCGACTGGTAGCTGTTCCACTTCGTCCGGAGGGTCGTCTGCCAGAGGTGCTGTCGCCTCTGCTTCTTCCTCATTGGGCTCAGTGGTAGGCTCCGAGGGTTCCTGTTCCGGCTGCCGGCTCGGCAGTGCCCCCCGTTCCTCGCAGCAGTCTGCTGCACCAACCAGCCATCCGGCTGCATAGAAGCCAGAGAACAACCAACCAGGTTAACAAACCCAACAGCATGGCGGCCTGAAGGGTCCACTGGATGATCTCTTCCTCTCGCGGCTGTCCCCTCACTCCACGGATCTGCTGTGCCATTGTCACACTGGCGATTGCCAGGGAAGGCCTGCAGGGAAATACTGGCTTCCTGGGCGGCTTTTCCCGCACGAGCTTCACCGAATGCGCGGTACATGCCGCAACCATGTTGGGATCAACCATGGCGAGGGTGCAGCCTCGTTGCCCGTCTTCGGGTGCTTCGTAAAGTAATTCGCAGGTTTTCCGTGCCTTTTACCTTTCTGAGCAACACCTTTCCTGAATGGACCGCTCCCTGAACGTAAAATCCGCAGACGTCCAGATGGCGCAGTTTGCTCCCCGGCCCGATCCGCCTAGCCGCTGTGATTCCGGTGGAGCTGTCGGACAAAATGCGCAGGATTTTCACCTCGAGGCCAAAGTCCACGCACGAAGATGGCCTGTCTGCAGGCACTGCTGATTCCCCTCAGCTCTGCGTCTGGGCCTTGATTCATATCACAGCGCCTTGGCGCAGCCATGTGCGGAGCAAGCTCTTTCACCGCGTACTGGATGTCGCGGCGGTCGGTGGAGAGATATAAATCCCCGAGGTGCTTATCGGCTCCCGCGTCCAAGGGTGTGGTGTCACTGAGGTCCGGCTTCCTCGAAGGATTTCTCCGGTGGTGATTTCGCACGGCACACAGGTCCTCGTCGAGAAGCCTGTCTAGGGCGGCGGCGTCGCCCGCACACCTCTCATCGTCGATGTGATGCACCGCCACTATTGCGGTATACACGTAGGGATCTTTCACCCCTCGTCTGAAGTCGTACTGCCCGGTCTCCTTCAACTTTGTGCGCAAGAGCTCCCCCGGCTCGTCGTGGTAAACCGAGCCCGCCGTCCTCCGGCCGTACAGGTTGCCATCCGGGGCAGCATGTTGTCATATGCCCCCACAGCCTCTCCTGTTCAGGTATTCCTCGAAGATCGGTCTCCACTCCGGGGCGGTCTCATGTAGACCCAATTCTTTTCTTGGGCCCTTCTGTCTTTGCAGATGAGGAACGCAGCGACTATGTCGAAGGTCCTCATGGCACACTTCTTTTTCTCTGAAGTGCCGTGACGTCTAGGTCTGGGAGGGCGTGCGGTCGGCGTGGGAGCAAAGACTCCTAGGTCTTGTTCTTGTTCCTGCTCGGCGGAGTAGGCCCGTTTCACTTCAGCACACGTGAACCTGCTCTTGGCCACTCCACCCTTGACCTCGTCGACCCACTCGTAGTGGAAGGTCTGGGCACGTGGTGGTTTGCTGTGCTTGTGCACAGGCGTTAACGCCTGCAAGCAGCACAGCTTCCTATGATTGCTCCATGGCTTGCCTTCTGGACCTGCCCCGGGTCCGGCGTGGAATCTAGCAGTTCCATCACCGAGGCTAGGCGGCGCTGCTGCGCCACAGCAGGGTCGTCCGCATTGGCCCAGTTTTCGAGCTTA